TATTTATTTATTTTTTAAATATATTTTATTGGTTTTTTACAGAGAGGAATGGAGAGGGACAGAGAGTTAGAAACATCGATGAGAGAGAAACATTGATCAGCTGCCTCCTGCACACCCCCTATTGGGGATGTGCCCACAACCAAGGCACATGGCCTTGACTGGAATCGAACCCGGGACCCTTCAGTCCACAGGCCAACGCTCTATCCACTGAGCCAAACTGGTTAGGGCTAACTCTGCCTATTTTAAATGCCAAATGTGCAAACTAATTTAAAATATTTATTAAATCATCAAATAAGAATCAATATCTACTTTACCTCCACACTGCTCATGTGATCCTCTTATAGGGATACTGCAGGTATGATTTACTGTTCACCTACTGTGTGGCAGCCACAGAATATTTCTAATCCCATGACCACCCTGTAGATGGGGTGCATTACATCAATAGTTTACAGAGGAGGCTCAGAAAAATTAAGTAATTTCCCCAGGGTAACCTAGTTCTTAAAGTGATTGGGCCAGCAAGACCCAAACATGTTCTAGCGCTCTCTGCTGGTGAGGATGTTTTATGGGAGGAGGCCAACTCCAGATTTAATCTTATATTTGTAGCAGTGGCCCAGTGCATGAATTTGTGCACATTGAAAGGAAATTAATTAGAAGAAATATTTTAATATTGCTATTCGCCCTTTCTCTATAATAGAAGTGTCAACCAAATTCACAATCAACAATGACAGATGGAAACACACGTGTGCAATTGGCACCAGTGAGGGCTTTATATGTATCGTGCATGCGCGAGTCAGCTTAGCCTTTTATAGATATAGAATAAACTTGCTTAACTAGACCTGCTTTCTGATGTAGCTAAACTTTTTCCAGCCCCGTGAAGCACCCCAACTTCTCTTTGAGGTAATTGTCAGCAACACAGCAGTACATATCAACGCAAAGCAGATTATTATTGTCGATCACACAGTGAGAACAAAGGATAAAATATTTAACTGCAGCCGTGTCTGACTATATTCTGCAGTGAGAAAACCTGAAGTCATTTTCAAGGTCCACCATTTCTTACTTCTTTTCAGTCAGGTCAAGTTTCTAAGTTTTATAAATCTCTGTTTTCTGGCTAATGAAAAGAAAACAGGATTCCACCGAGTCTCCTATCTACCTATTCCAGGACTTATGTGAGGATTAAACAAGATGAGGCATGGGAAAATGCTTCATAGACATTTGATTAAAGTGAAAATGTTTTTACCTGGCTATAAAGCTAGTCGTGTCCCTGGGCTGAAGAAACTGCAAGGAGGCTAGTCGTCACTAGGGAGAGGAAGCCATGCGTTGCTACTTGATGTCATTACCTGGACTGACACCATATTAGCCTTCTATATATATAGGTTTCAGCATCAACTATAATGGAAATAATAGAAGCATTAGACTGCAGGGGTGGGCAAACTTTTTGACTCAAGGGCCACAATGGGTTCTTAAACTGGACCGGAGGGCCGGAACAAAAGCATGGATGGAGTGTTTGTGTGAACTAATATAAATTCAAAGTAAACATCTTTACATAAAAGGGTATGGTCTTCTTTTTTTAGTTTTATTCATTTCAAACGGGCCGGATCCGGCCCGTGGGATGTAGTTTGCCCACGGCTGCATTAGAGCAAGAGGATTTGGGTGTCAAAAAAAAAATCTCTTAACCTCTCCACACCAGCTTCCTCTGTGGGTTATTCTGAGGTACAAATGAGACTGAATGAGAGGCATTTAAAAGCCTTAAAGTACTTTTACAAAAATGTATGTTGTTATTTAAACCATCCTAATCTGCTTACTTTATGAATTATTCCAAATTTATTTATTTTTCACCTAGTTACTGATCAACTCTGGGCAACTTCCATGGCATATCGCCACCTTGCCACAAAAGGGATAAAAAGAAGAGTGACCTTTAGCCCTGGTGCCCTGGACAGTGAAAATAGTGGAAAACAGAAGCTCAGGTCACATTCAAATAAAAATGCAAGGCTGACTCGGATTAAGTGAGCAATCTATAAATGTTATCAAAATGTGAAAAAAGGGAGCTCTTTATTGAAGGTAAGGCCTGAGGGGAAGAGCTGACCTGGGCAATAAAAAAGGGAAGGAGGGCCCACTTCTGGGAGAGAAAATTCTACAAATTCCTCCTGGATTGCAGGCTTAGGAGGCTAGACCTTAAAATGTAATTCCTTTTAATCAACCAAGGTTTTTATTTCCAATTACTTTCATATTGCCCCTTCCAAGCACCCATTCTGAAAACTTTTTTTTGCATGCATGAAATGTTTTGATGGACATATGTAAGGGTTAATTTTAAAAAGAAAGAAAAAAAACCTGCAAGTAATGTCTGACTCTTAAAAACAAACAAACATAGGTGTGACTGGATATCACTCCTAACAGAAGCCATCTGACAGTGGAAAATAAGAGGCTGTGGTTTTGAGCTCTGGGGGCCCCATGTTGGCCCCCGCTGCATGCATAGACTTCAGATGAAGGTGCTGTTAGACTCTGCACTAATAGGCTGACCTAGAGTGCTCGGTCTCCAGTATAAAAAGCATTGTTTTATAGTGTTTGGCACTATAGAGTGGTTCTCAACCTTCCTAATGCCGCGGCCCTTTAATACAGTTCCTCATGTTGTGGTGACCCCAATTTCATTGTTACAAATTGAACATAATTAAAGCATAGTGATTAATCACAAAAACAATATGTAAATATATGTGTTTTCCGATGGTCTTAGGCGACCCCTGTGAAGGGGTCGCGACCCACAGGTTGAGAACCACTGGTTCAGGCCATTCTCACATCAGCATGGGGTGAATGTGGCCACATTTGGGGCACATCACCATTTTGCCCACCACTGGGAAGTTCAGCTGGACTAATTGGTGGTTCATGGCAACCTTCCCTGAGAGATACAAGCCGAGACAGCTCAAAGGAGGGGGAATGCATGTGCCTGGCAATTGCTTGAAAGGAGAGTAATAAGAGTGACGGACACTCTTACGCTGCTGGTGGAGTGGAGGCTGAAACAACCTTCCTGGAAAGTCATGTGGCAATAATACCGAGAGCCCTAAAAGGCCATGCCTGAGAGTATGAGCTTTGGAGTCAGGCTGGCCAGGTTACATTTTGGCTCCACTATCATGGCTTTGAGTGTGTCGGTCAGCACGGTACTTACTTATTTGTGCTTCAGTTTTGTCATCTGTGAAATGGGAGTGAAAATACCTACCTTATAGCATTGTTAGGAGGATTCAGTGCAGTAAGTGCTTGAAAGCACTCGAGAATGTACTTGCTGTAATGATCCTAAAGGGCTATTGAGAAACATGGCCAAAGATTGATGAACAAAAATATTCATTGCAACATTGTTTAAAATAAAATTTGAAAAAAAGAAATCCTAAATGTGGAGCAATGGAAAACTAAGTAAACTATGGCTTAGTCAGTTGGATAATATGCTTCTATTTTAAAAAAATTATCTTTACCAACCTTTCTTAAGGACATGAAAAATGGTTTTTGGAACAATGCTAACCAAATAAAACAGAACAGAAACTAGATCAGAAGGTTAAATCAATGGCTGCTAGGATTATGGTGATTTCTACTTGCTTCTTTTTGCTTATCTAAGTAGAAATAAGTGTGTGGTCATTTTAGAAATTGCTTAAATTTAAATATTTTAGAAATTGCTTAAAATCAACAATTTAAAAAATATTTTTAAATGTATGGAAATAATGGATTTCCGTTTTATTTGGGAGCCCTGCAGTAGCTTTTTCTACTTACATCCTTTGACTTCTCACCGCAGTCTTGCTGTTTATCCTGTTTGACAGGTAAAGAGACAGGCTGAACGTAAGATGGTGACATGCCCTGGCCCTGTGCTACCCCTGGATTGTTCCTTCTGTAACCCCTGAGGGTGGCGGTTGGGTCAGCAGGATGGCCTGCTCCTAGGGTCTGAGAGGCCCCTCAGAGAAGGTGATGTTTGAATTTGGACTCCAGTTCACATCTGAGATCGGGCATCTCAGGCCAGGCAATAGCATTAGGACTCGATTACAACAGTTCAGGCCTGAGGCAATGAAACTTGGAATTGGCATTGAGAATGGAAAAACGGTCAAGTGCGAGAGACATTGAGGAGAAACTGGTTTTCAGATTTCCAACCTGGGCCGGGGGTGGGGTGGGGAGGGGGGAGGCGGGGCGGACAGCTGTAACTTCTGAAAGAACCAACAGGACCCCAGGGAGGGGAGAACAGAGGAGGGGTCAAATGCTGGCTGGATTTTGGCATGAGTTCCCATACCACCAGACAGTGGCCCAGTGAAAAGGCTAAGATCTCTTTTCTAAACCACAATGTCCCGCATCCTTATGACTAGAAGAGAAGAAGGCTCTGAGTCTGCCATGGCACAACCCTCCACTGTGGTCACCTCACAGGGCACACAGCTGCAGTGGCCGAGGACAGGGGTTCAGGAGCACCCTGGGCTGGCCACACTCACACAGTCCATTTGCCCTTTGAGACACAATTCA